AATGTAGTTCCACATTTATTTTTCCTCTGCGCAACATGCTAATGAGAGGGTGTCAACCATGGGCCTGCTCAGGTCTTGTGATAGCTGGGGGCGCGGCTTTCCCGCTGACAGGAGATGCATGGTGTAAATCCAGTATAGCCTAGTAAAGTCACTTTTTCCGTTTAACAGAGCAAGATACATGAAAAATTGAGCTGTATTGTCCGTACAGTATCTGTGACTTTACAAACGACCCAACAGAATGGCCAGAGGCGTCATTTCCTGATGTCATTTTTTGTAACCCGATTGAGTGTCCAGCTAGAGACAACTGTAATATCAGTATCCCATGGTCATCGTGAGATTATTCACTTTATCCGTGGAATAAGGGCTCGTTCTTTTGATGGCAGCTAGTGTTTATTAGGATGGTTTTACCTGCTCGTTGTTTAGGTACGTGTCTAAACTCATTCTATTTATTTTCCTTTGATCACTCATTTATTTAGCTCTCTCATGCTTATAACTACAAAACTAGCCTTATGAAAAAGTGTAAGATAATAAAGTTAATACGCATGTGCAGGCAAACGCTCAAGTGCATCACACACGATCCGCCTACTCTTGCATAATTGACACCCTCAATGCAGGAGGTGGTTTCATGTGCATTCCAATGTCAGACAGCCAGTTCAAGAGGGCTCAAAAGGTTGACTGGAAGTGCTGGCTATTTAAATAGTTTTAAATTCTGCAAATAGTCTGAGTGCATATTTCCACTGTCCTAACATCCTCTGCCGGCTGGTCGCTCCCGCTTCATAGCAAGCGGCGCTCGTAATAAAGCTAATTCAGTCTGTGTTTTGACTTTAGTAAATCACTTTTGGCAAATACAAACAACGTGATTATTTTTCACGAGTCCAACATCCAGCCACGCAAGAAAACATGCAATCTACCTGAGACATGATCAATAAGGGAAGCCGTCTTTTACTATTGCAAAATACAGAAAAAAATTTTTTTAAATTTTTTTTATGACTAATAGCTTCTTAACCTTGGACCTCATTCTTGAAACACAAAATGACAAATAAAAAAAAGGGTCAAACACTTTTATATATGTAGGCCTACTTTTCTGAACTTGGGATCCATAAGTTACCTGCATGGTCTTGGCTAAGCCTGAAATACACCACCTGGCGGTGCCGGGGGTGAACCATCACCAACATTTCCTCCAGTATAAGGTATAATAAATACAGTCAAAAACTAACAATTCAGGCTCCATAGTTATTTTCAGTTTCATTAACAAATCTCAGGATGGCAGCTCTCTTCTCGCACCGTTGCCACGCGACAGGAGCATTAATTGGGAACACCTGCTGGCACAATTAGGAAATCCTGCGAAGGCTAGACTCGGAGCATCCTTCGAAGGCCGTGTTGGCCGCATCCTTCGAAGGACCCATCCTCCGAAGGATGCAGTCTTTGAATTGGGACACAGCTAGAGTGTGTAATAGCTCTCAAGTGAGCGTGTGATTAGTGACAGCTGTGTGATCAGTGCATTCAGCTGTGTCAGTGCAATGGATGATGGGAACTGTAGTCCGGAGTGACATGTAACAGTCTGTGTAGTGTGAGAGTCCATGTAG